AATGATCATACTCATTTGTAGGACTGAAAGTTAACAAAAACATTTTGGACATAGGACTACAAGGTAAAGGAGTTCGTGATGAACTATGAAGCGGGTTCAACATCCGTCGCCAAAAGTCTATTCCTAATATGTCCATGTTTTTCTGTACATGTGGCCATTTTATATAAACACATGTTCTCAGCCAAAGATCCTATATGTGTGTCATTCATATCCTCACTGGTTAAGAGGGCGAAACTCCCCTCAACATATGCCTATATAATATCTTTATTTCTATGAATAAATTGAAGTATTGAGAATACATTTGAATGTGTGTTTTCTTGCTTCCCGGCCATATCTACACTTTAAGGGACTGAGAAAATTTCACGGTGGCAAAGAGAATTTAGAGAATTTACAGAGGGACCAATTGTTATTTTTATTAACAGGCTTTTAATCATCAGTTTATATTGGTTTCCAATAAATTTATTGGAAACCATAGTATGTTTATGGTTTACACTTTATAAATAAATGTTTGACAAAGAAAACAAAAAGAAAAACAATTCTGAATTGTACATGCTATTTGAAATAATAATTTTAAAGTACACTCAAGATGTATGGGCTGAATATACAATATATACATAGCATTCTGTGCCTAAAATGCTTTAGATCAATAACAGAAGCACTGTGCTTTTTAAGAAAGGCACTTTTTTCTTCTTCAAAATAGAAAAAAGAAAATCAAAGTGTGCTACAGTTTGAAATATCATACTAAAACACTGTTTTCTCCACTACAAAAAGTTAAACTCTGACATTCTTACAATACTAAATGGGTTTCTCCTGCCAAGGAACACATCCAGCAGGTGAGACAAAGTAGTCAACAGAAAGATTTGCTGCATTTTTGCCACAACAGATGCATTGTGTTCCCTTCGATGATCCACTGTTTGAAAAGACCCAAACCCTGCAAAGAGAGTTGGAGGTAAATAATTTTGCAGTAACTGTTATGCTGATGTTGTGGCTGGTCAAGCAAATGTTTGTGCTTGTTTCTGTATGATATAATTGTTCATATATCTATTAAAATACTGATATTCTGGTCTAGAACTCCTCCCTGAACTTCCCACTGCCCTGTATCTTGGTCTCTGATGGGCGAGATCAGGCTAAATCAGTGACATGATTTTACCATAAGTTTCTTACCCTCAGACATGAGTTTAATACACACAATTGTGCCAACCAAAGAGAAGCTTAAATTTAAAAAGTCAAGGGTCAAGAGGCAACTAAAGCAACAACTATTCACAAAAACGGTAAGTTGAAGAAGAAAAAAAACATCTAAACATTAATTCTGTTTTAGATAATAAAGTCAAACTGGTTAGTAATGTGTGAAGCTGGTGATGCTGTTTGTAGAGTTGTTCGATCATCTTCTGCTGAGATCTTGAGGGATTTAATGTCTTGTAGTTGTGTTAACAACTACAATGTGTTGTAGTTCTTGTGTTTCTCTTTTCTTCAGTGATTCTGCTTGTTAACAGCAGCTGTTCATCACTAATGCTCAATCAGCACTTAATTAATCACATAATTATCTCATTAACTTTAACACTGCTTCAGTGTTACTTTAACACTCTTTTAGAGTGGGACCATATATGCTCCGAGCAGTGTTAGTTTAACACTCGGGAATTTACTGTGTAGTGCTGGAGGTGTTACGGCCAACACAGACTGGCTGAGGTCTTCTAGTTAAAAAATCCAGGATCCAATAACAGAGGGTGGTGTTAAAGGGGTCATCGGATGCTACCTCTATGTCTCTATGGAGAACCACACCAAACTTACTGGGTGAAACATCTGTTTATTCCATATGCCCCTGGCTGTGCACTATTTGAATGTCTGTTATGAATGGGAAGTGTGTGTATTCTGCAGACAGCAGGCAGAAAATATCCTGTTCTCTGGGCTTTTCCTTATTTATAGCGTGTCTATGTTTTCCATTATCTCACAGACATTTCCTAAACACTTTACTCTAGAGCATGCCATAACACTTCAGAAGGGTTTTAGTTCAACATTTCATAAAAGCAAAGCACTTGAGCAGATAAAAAAATTAAATAAAAAATGCAGTAGCATTTCTGTTATGTGTGGCACATATTTTATTTTATATTATATACAGTATTATCGGTGTAAGATTGCACATTTATGCCATCAGCCGTAAACATCTAGGTTTTTTTAGTGGCATGACACTAAACGATGACATTTAATTACACTTAAGTATAGTGAAAAGACATAGCACTAAACAATTACTATTAATATGTCCTGTGATGTGTATGTCTGGGATCCATATAAGATACGTTTTTTTATGTATCATGTTTTATTTATAATTTTTTCAGTTTAATGAAAATTATGCTTAAAATTATATTTCATACAACAAACATCCTAAAATAGCTGCCTTTTTTGGCTTTTGCAGAATTGTCCTAACCAGATGTGATTCAACAACACGTGATAAAAGGTATATTTTAATGATGTTTGGTTCTTGAACTAATCGTTCTTTTGAGCTCTCAGCTGAAGTAGCACATCTGACTCAAAGAATTCTGACGAGTGAGTTCCTGATATTATGCACATGCATGTGTGTCACGAGGACTTGAACGAGCCTGATGCAGAATGCAAGTTTCTTAAATAAAAAACAAAATGTAATGTAAATATGCTTATTAGTACATTCATTAAATGGGCCTACATTTAACATGGAAAAACCTGAAATTTACTCTGTTTTTTGTGCTTGCAGATTATATGAATCTGTGATCACATTAACCTGAATGAATGAAAGGCAATAATCAGCCATATGCATTCACACAAATAACTTTATTTTAATGTTTCATTAATGTAACATGACACTGAGTTTTTAGAAAATAAATGCATAGTGATATCGGGAACTGATGAATCGTTTTTTTTTAACAGGTTCCTGAACCAAACTGTCCAAAAGAACCGGTTTGCCGAAATGAATCGGAATTTGCATCACTAATATTTTTTCCATGTTAATTAGCATTTTTGTCCTAACCAGCCACAACAGTGACACGCAATGTGCAACAGTGGATCTTATTGTGCAGTTTCTCTAAGGGTGTATTCACACCTGTCTTGTTTGGTTCGATTGAATCGAACTCAAGTTCGTTTCCCCCTTGGTGCGGATCTTTTGGGCAGGTGTGAATACAGCAATCACACTCGGGTGCGCACCAAACAACCGTACCGAGACCCAGCTGAAGAGGTGGTCGCGGTCTGCTTCCAAATAAACTCTGGTACGGTTGAATGGATGAACCAATGAATGGATGACCTTTAGCACACGTGTGGTTTTGTTTACAGTTTCTGGTTCACTTGCAAAAAGGGCAGTGTGAAGGCAAACTGCACCAAACAAACATAAATCAACATTGTATTGGGTCCGGACCAAAGCAAGTGAACTAGCGGACTTTCCTGGTGTGAATAAACCCTAAGTGCAGTGCACTTGCAGAGACCACCCATACACTCTTTTGATTGGCTCTTCTGATTCTTGATTGATTTTTGTAGCATCTAGTGTGGACAGACAAATTGCTTGTCGCTGGAATCTTATTGCAATCCAACTGGTAAGGAAACATTGGAAGGCAACCCCCCCCCCCCATTTCTGGAATATACTATGTGGAGGTGACTGATAACTAAACACACAAATAGTAAGCGCATGCAACATGACGTTATTGAACAAAATGAATAATCTGAAAATTTCTGAAATCTGAAAAATGAGAAATCTTGTTCTTGATTTTCCTCTGTAATGTCACTGAAAATGGAAGTGCCGTTCCTACTGGGCAAACGGAAACTTTAAATATGGCAGCTTTTTCTGGGCACAGGTTTGGCTGGTGAGAAGTGTACCACAATGCAACAATGCAAGTACAGTCTTGAGTAAATGTGTGTATGTTTAGTTACATAGATGAATCTGTTAACATTTGTAAAGTAACGGGTGTCCTTCTGTTGATGTTAAACTGCATGACAGAGTACTAAACATTTAAACAAAAGACAATAGAAAATTAAATATACAATACAAGTAAACAGAGGACCATGAGTGGCATACTACAACACAGGATAACAAACAGACATCTACAATATTTTGCTGGCCTTCAGATTGTGTGTGTGTGTGTGTGAGAGAGAGAGAGAGAGAGAGAGAGAGAGAAAGAAAGAGAGTAATGGTGGAAACTGTTTGTGTGTGCACATACACTTCAGCAATCCTTTCAAAATAAAAGTCATTGTTCACAGTCAGTCTGTGACAATCATTATTATTAGACTAAAAATATTGCATCTTTATAACTTGAAAAGTAATGCTACAACTTTTGCATGTTAGTAATTTATGTGTTTTTGGAACATGCTTTGCTGAGTTGAAACAACATGCTGTACGGTCATATAAGACACTGAGCAACTGCATAGAAAGTTCTTTGGACTTAAGTGGGACGTTCTTGGCAAATATAAGTTGCAAACTCAATCAGACTTTTCTAAAGTCTTTATTCCTGGAATGGAATAGAATAGAATAGAATGATGTTCTTGAGCAGTTATTTTGGTTGTCTTAAAAACAACATGTTTCCAGTGAACATATCTTTTATTCTGAAACAGTGAGGGAGTTCTAACATCAGAGCTGTTGATTAGTGGAGGCTCTTACATGCTGGAGTCTGAAACCTGAAACCAAGGGAGGGGAGAGAAATAGAGGAAGAAAGAGAGACATTCTCTTTTGAGTACAGTAAATTTAAAGAGAGAGGGAAAGGGTGCTGAATGTGTAAAGAATGCAAGAGGTTTGGGACAGAGAGAAACTTAGGGGAGTATGCAGAGAGAGAGAGAGAGAGGGAGGGAGAGGGAGAGAGGGAAAATGTGAGTCAGGAGGGAGGGAAGTAAAGAGGAGAGGTGATGTAAAAGCAGTTGAGCTCAGAGAGTAAACAGAGCTTAAGACTGCAGCATGTGTTTATCTGTTCAGCTGAAGAGGCGCACCCAGCGGGCAGGCCACATTCTCTTCTCAAACCACATCTCTGTACCACGCAGTACTCTACTCATCATCTTCCTCCTGTCGGCTCAGGGGACAGCCTGGCCATATGGTAGGTCTGATTTATTTGCTTTCAACAAGAGTCACACTCTTTTGTTGTCTGAGAGTCAGTGTCAACTGAACTGTCCCTTACACACTTTCTCTCTCTCTCTCTGTCTTTTTTTTTTAATGCTTGAGGTGTAGGAACTGTATAGGTCTTTATTTGTTTCACATTACAGTAATTATTTGTAATGCTTTAGTGATGTTCTTAAAAAAACAAAACACTCCCATCTGAGGTAAAGGAATGTGAGATGTGAAAATGTTTTTGAGAGGGTTAAGAAGCATTCATTTTTAGAAGTGAAATGGGTAAATGTATTGTTTTGCTTTGTGTGTGGATTCAAATCTATAAATCTAATAAAACTGAACAGAGTGAGTAAATAACAAATGTGAACTGAAACCATAAACTTCATAATACCCATTCAAGGGATCTTCTTGTCTTAATCTTACAGACCCAAAGATTAGACATGCTGAGACTGTTTCTAAGCATAGATGAAGAGACAGATCACTGACTTTGTATTCCCTTGCTCACCACCCTTTGGCAAAGACCAGACAAAGGGGGGAAAAAAGTCATTTCCACAGAACTCTTCCCCTTCACATTCACATCCTCAAGTCACATTTTGAAAACAAGTATTAGTTCAATTAAAGGTTATGCCTTATCTCATGTACAGACATCCAAAAATATGTTGGACAATTTACAGAGTTGCACAAAACATCCCTCAAGCAGAGGCTAGCTAGTGAACAAATGCATTTAAATTGGACTTTGGTTTCCTTTATGTGTGGGTGAAAGCATATAGAGCTTAGTAGTGGTAATTCAGAGTGAGAGTCCTTCTAAAACCCAGTGGAGTTTCTTGTTCCATGGCTGCTAAATCATTCCAGCCCGTGGAATATCCAGCCACTATACTAAAGTGCAAAATTTGAACTTACATGCCAGTTCATATTGATAGCAAAAGATGCTGCAGTAATGCTGTATTAAAGGGATAGTTCACCCAAAAATGATTTTTTTTCTGCTTAGTTTTCTGTTTATCTGCTTACCCCCAGGGCATCCAAGAGGTAGGTGACTTTGTTTCTTCAGTAGAAACACAAACGAAGATTTTTAACTCAAACCATTGCAGTCTGTCAGTCATATAATGTAAGTGGATGGGAATCATGGCTTTTAGAGTAAAAAAACACAAACAAAACCAAATTAAACCCTGCAGCTCGTGACGATACATTGATGTGTAAAGATACAAAACGATCAGTCTGTGCAAGAAACTGAACAGTATTTTTATAGTTTTTTACCTCTGATTTTCACTGCAATGTCTGAACTGTCCTGAGCACGTTCGCGTCTTTTTCTTCAGTCTGCGCATGAGGCGTCTTCTTCTTGCTTTACGGCGGATCGCAGAATTATAAGTGCATTACCGCCACCTATCTCTCAAATGGATCATTGACACTCTATCTACAATCTCAATTAGGAGTGTCAATGGTCCATTTGAGAGATAGGTGGCGGTAATGCACTTATAATTCTGCGAGGGAATCACGGCTTTGAGAGTAAAAAAACATACACAAACAAAACCAAATTAAACCCTGCAGCTCGTGACGATACATTGATGTGTAAAGACACGAAACGATCGGTCTGTGCAAGAAACTGAACAGTATTTATATAGTTTTTTACCTCTGATTTTCACTGCAATGTCTGAACTGTCCTGAGCACGTTCGCGTCTTTTTCTTCAGTCTGCGCATGAGGCGCAGTTTCTTGCACAGACCGATCGTTTCGTGTCTTTACACATCAATGTATCGTCACGAGCTGCAGGGTTTAATTTGGTTTTGTTTGTGTATGTTTTTTTACTCTCAAAGCCGTGATTCCCATCCACTTACATTATATGACTGACAGACTGCAATGGTTTGAGTTAAAAATCTCCGTTTGTGTTCTACTGAAGAAGCAAAATCACCTACATCTTGGATGCCCTGGGGGTAAGCAGATAAACATTACATTTTAATTTTTGGGTGAACTATCCCTTTAAACTCAAAGTTTATAACCACTAAGAATGACACCTGCTAGAAGCATGTTTTATTTGCATATGACATCTCCAATTCACTAAACTGTGCAGTTCAGGACATAGTTATTTAGGATGGTGTTTCCCAACCCTGTTTCTAGAAATATGGTGTAATGAAGAAAATAATTTTTTGCAGTGAGGGAAGTGGACCTATTATTTGAGAGTATGTCTAAATGTAATTTTGTTGTAACATTATAGCTTTGAATATTAACAAGACATTGGACAGGAACCTACCTTGGCTAGACTGAGAGCACAACAGTTCAATGTATAAGTGTTTTGATATTTATACCTAAAATTACATGATTTAATGCAGTTCTCTCCATGAGACATATTGAACATAAGCACATAGCAGAACTAAGCTCTGGTATAAACAACAACAACAACAAAGGAAACTCCAGTAAGCTTTTTCTAACAAACTTAAATGGTTACAGACACCTCCCACACTACTGTTCACTGTTTTTCCGAAGTTCTACACAGTGTTTCCCAACCGGGGTGCCGTCTGTCGAGAGCAGGGGTGCCGTGTAAAAAAATCAGTTTTTAATATTTATTAAATGTTAAAAAATCATCTATTATGTAAATAAATTTCTGATGTCGGAAAAAAGGATAATTGGAGATGCACCGAAATTTCGGCTGCCGAAAATGAGTTCACTGCCACGTGGTGTGACGCTCTCCGCTCTATGCGTGTGTGTGTGTTGATGTTTTATTGGTTAAAATGATGTCACCATCATGGAGATCAGTGTTTGCTTTAGTTTGGCTCTTGACCCTTGATTCCTCTGTTGTATGTTTTTTAATAGCGATGCATGCGGTGTTGTGAAGCAGAGTGAGCAGTGCTATGCCGTGAGCAGCTATTAGCCGTATTTACATGATGAGAAAGTTATCATGAGCTGACCTGATTATAATCAAAAGTTGTTATATGGTTATGTTTAGCATAATCAACCCTGTGAAACTACAGCACGTAAAACAAAGTGTTCCTCTAACTATCACCATGAATGAATTTTAAATCTTTGGAATTCATATTAAAATTGATTTCCAGTGCTATTTAAACACACACAGACATCAAGAACCAGCATATGAACCTCAACAATGGTGACAATCAACAAAATGCTTCATGCTGCAATGCATGCTGGGTAAACACCATAGTAAAAACTCCCATCATGCACTGCAGTATGAATAATTATTGTCACCACTGTTGAGGATCATATGATAAGTGTTCATGTCTAAAAGGCAATGCATGCTGGGTAACACCATAGTAAAAACTCCCATCATGCACTGCAGTATGAATAATTATTGTCACCACTGTTGGAGAATCGCATGATAAGTGTTCATGTCTAAAAGCCTGAGTGATGCAGTTCATTGTTTCCCCAATATTAAATCATTACAGTGGCATTTGTTTAATAGGACTTTTTTTTTGGTGCAGGTCTGTAATATCTGATTGTCAGTCAATAAACCAAAGAGAGACCACTTTATGATGTTCTTTCAAATGAGTTATTAGCAGAAAGTGTAAGTGCATCTGCTATTTCAAGGTTTGATTCAGCAATGCACAGATGTATGGTGTGAAACAACAAGCAAACTTTGACCATAATTATGGTAGTATCGTGTGTGTGTGTTTTCAGTTGATTTCATCCAAGGCTGTGGCTGAAGTCAGGTGTAGTTCTTGTGTTTCTCTTTTCTTCAATGATGTTGAGTGTTAACAGCAGCTGTTCATCATTAATGCTCAATCATCATTTAATTAGTCACTTAATTATCTCATTAACTTTAACTCTTTGAGAACTTGGGATATGACTTGAAGACTTGCTTGTGACTTGAAAGTCCCACCTCTGTTTACTGGTAAATAATTAGAAATAATATCAACACCAATGCGCCTCAGGAAGCTACCTTTAAAGACTATTAACTGTTAATTTCATTATGTTCAGATTTCCAAATGAAATCTCTCTGGAAATACATGTGTCAACCTGGAAAAATTCATTTAGAATGGGCTCAAATCAACACTCAGTGATGACTATGGATTTCCTGACTAGTTTGTGCATTCGACTTCTGGTTTTGCCTGATGCTGGTGCAGAGAGTCGGAGAAAGCCAAAAATTATCCTTTATAGATGTTTACAGTGTCTACATATCACTTAAATACTTCTAAGAGCTACAGTATGCCATGTCTAAGATGCCACACATCAGGGTCAATCAAGGTATGGATGGAGGACCACCAGATCAAGACCCTGTCATGGCCAGCCCAAACTCCAGATCTGAACCCTATTGAAAACCTCTGGAATGTGATCAAGAGGAAGATGGATGGTCACAAGCCATCAAACACAGCAGAGCTGCTTGAACTTTTGTGTCAGGAGTAATGTGATAAACTAGTAGAGATCATGCCAAGACGCATGAAAGCTGTGATTGAAAACCAGGGTTATTCCACCAAATATTGAATTCTGAACTCTTCCTAAGTTAAAACGTTCATTTTACTCAAACACATGACTATATACATCATAAAACCAGAGAAACTGATCATTTTGAAGAAGTCCATTATTTATTTATTTTCATTTACCTACATTAAGTTGCTCCATCAATATTGTCACAGCATATTTTACATTTACACCTTGTTCTCTTTGCATCAAATGTCTTTTTAGATGAAAACAAGAGCTGTAAAAGAAAATATTTCTAAATAGTTGTGATTAATTTAAATTGATTCATTGTATATATGTTGTAATGTAAACAGTTCCTTTTTAATAAAGCAGTCAAAATTGTTTACTCATAATAAAATATACTGTATGTGCTGCTTACAGACACCAAACAAATAATGATTTATACATCAGGCACGTTTTACTCATCTCACTTGCATAAAAACAAATTCAGCAATTAATAAAAATGCACAGGGAAATACAAACACTGAACATTATGCAAATCTGCAATTATTACATTGTATGTTAAATATTACAGTTAGCAGTAACAATGTTACCAAATAAAGTTAGGAAACCATACAATGTGTTCA